TTTCTTTAGCTTCAGCATGATTGATTATATATATATATATAAGAACATGCATGCCATGTGAAAGTTGTCCCCTTATTACATAACTATTGCTTTGTCTCTTCTCTTCCTACCCATTTAATTTATCAAGTCATTAGCATGAAACCCATCATTAGTTCAAAGTTATTTTCAAACACATGTTACTTTTTCTTTTGCCATTATTTAAATAGACCAATTGCGCTATTAACAAAAAACAAAAAGAAAAAACATTGAAACATCCAATATTGAAATTGGATGGCCAGTTGTTATATATATATATATGTCACATGGATTATTAATATAATTAATGTTTTTTAAACAGGATATTTGTGTTGGGGGTGTGAATTTCATATCGTAGAATTAAAGTCTTTCATAATAGTTAAAACGACTTGTGTTTTTCTACTCATTGCTAATTGATTTTAAGTTGGATGCTCATGAATAATTTGAAAATATTTAGATACATAAAAGATGAGAGAGAAAAAGAAATCTTGAGAACACATAAACTAAGACAATCGTTCTTGGTTCTATATTTAATTTTACAAAAGGAATCTATATATTATCTTTCCTCGCATGTATCTCCTCTTTTTTTTTTCTTAAACCTTCTTTTATCTTATTCCTTCTCTATCTTTTGTGGACAAACCATTTACGGTAGAAACCAAACGAGCTTTCATTTATTTATTTATTTATAATTAACAAAGAAGTAAAAAGCGCTCATGTTTCGTTTTGAATTTTAATTTACATGGCAGGAACCTAAGAAAGTTGAAGTACATTAAGAATTTCCATCAGTTTGATCTGCAATTCAAGAAGCACTGCGAGGAGGGGAAGTTACCAAACTATGTGGTGGTGGAGCAAAGGTTCTTTGATGTGTTATCATTTCCTGCAAATGATGATCACCCGTCCCACGACGTCTCTGAAGGCCAGAAGTTTATAAAAGAAGTGTATGAAGCATTAAGAGCAAGTCCCCAATGGAATGAAATGTTGTTTGTAATAATATATGACGAGCATGGCGGTTTCTATGATCATGTTCCAACACCTGTCACGGATGTTCCTAGTCCAGATGATATCGCTGGTCCTGAGCCATACAACTTCAAATTCGATCGTCTTGGTGTTCGGGTTCCAGCCATTTTAATCTCTCCATGGATTGAACGTGGAACAGGTAACTTAAACAACTAAACTATTTGTATCGTATTTACTAATTATAAAAGTATCACTTAAGGGTATCCCCTTGCATAAATTTCCCATACATGGATGGAGAAAAAAAAAAAAGTAGTCATTACAAGTCAGACACAAAAAATTACTGGTTTACTAATTAATTTTTTTTATAACAAAAATGCAGTGTTGCATGGGCCTTCAGGGCCATATCCCTCATCAGAATTCGAGCACTCCTCAATCCCAGCAACTGTGAAGAAGATTTTCAACCTAAAAGAGTTTCTTACAAAGCGTGATGCTTGGGCGGGAACCTTTGAGGGTGTCTTGAGTAGATCAACCCCAAGAACTGACTGTCCAGGTGAACCTAAATTTAAAGATTTTTTGTTTTCATACATAATATCTTTGTTATGCCTACAAATTTGTGGTGCTGTTGAATCACCGTTTGCGAGTTTTTGAGTGTTTCATCGTTTGACATCTCTGACTTTCGCAGTTACTTTGCCCGAACCTGTGAAACTACGAGAGACTACATCCAAAGACGGGGCCAAAATGAGTGATTTTCAAGAAGAAATAGTGCAATTGGCAGCAGCCATAAATGGGGACCATAGAAAGGATATTTATCCCAACAAACTGGTGGAGAAGATGTCTGTTTCCAAGGCTGTCAATTATGTGGAAGCATCGTTTAAGAAATTTTCAGATGAATGCGAGAAAGCCAGGGAAAGTGGAGCAGACGAATCTGAGATTGTGGTCTGTGCAACCTCACTTGAATCGCCATCTCCCAAGTCGTTTGCTAAAAAGATGTTTTCTTGCTTGGTTTGTGATCACTGATGATGACTCAAATTTTCATTTTCATTTTTTGTTTTTTGAATTGATTCCTAAGATTTGGTTTGTAATCACAACATACTTTATTTGCATTTCTTGTAATAATTAATTATTATTATTACAAATATTTCGTTGTTAGTTCACCTTTTTATTCTGTTGGTTCACTTTTCTTTCTTTTGGATATAAGCGATAGTCTAAACTATGAAGAGAGAGGCTTTTCACATACACACTACCAAGGTGTCATGAAATTATGGACCTAAAACCACTAGTATGCATATCAATACTGTTTTCCACTAGATTCATCAAAACAAAAATTGTGAAAAAGTTTTTCTATAAATATTTTTTTGTTCAATCATAAATTCAATTAAAATGTGAGAGTAGACTTCACCTCTTTCTAAGATACGAATCATAACAGTAGATGCCGGAAACACCAAATACGTACAAAAATACAAATGAGTACAATTTATGTCCACAAGTGATTATAAATTTTTTTTATAAAATTAGTGAAATACCCATTCCTAGACATAAAACTATAAATATACCCTATACTATTTAGTGTATATAAACACACCCAAAATAAACCCAAAAATCGACAGCTGTCGATTTTTGGATTCTGTATCTATGTTGGATTACGGTTTTGACCTTTTGGTTTGAATTTTGAGAAACAAGCCCAAAATTAGCCAGGTAGGATAGGAATGTCTTGAAATTTATGTTGGTGACCTCATAACTGAAACCTGTTTGGCAGCCTCGTGATTTTTTTTTTGAGCAGATCGAATATTCCAAACGAGCGTCGTTTGAACGAAGCTCAGTATGATCTGGTTCCAGATCTCCTTTCTTTTTAGATTCTTCTGAGCTTAATTTTTGGTGCTCGGTGTAGATTGGAGTTCTATTGCTTCATTCTTTTTTTCTTCTTGTTTGAATTTGTGGTTTTTGGAGCGATATTGTGCTGCATGAGATTCGATTGGAGCTTGGTGCGATCTGCGATCTTCGATTTTGAGGTATTCGATTTTTTCTTGTGAATTCATATTCGATTTTTGAGGTATTCGATTATATTGTAGTCTGATTTTTGGTGATTTCATGTTTGATTAATTA